CATATCAATATATTAATCACAACCGCCTTCACTTTTTTTGGAGAATCATGTTGGTTCTGAGTTTCATTAAGTATTGCAATATTGAACATTTTCTTAACATTATTAATATGAGGTATTGATTTATAAGTAATTCGTATTCATTTTATTTTTGCTGTCTTTTGAACTTAGTATATTAACATAATGTTAAATTATTATATTTGTAATGAAATTTTGAGCCATCATATGAAATATGACTTAATTGTTATTAAGACACCATTTAAATCTATTATAAAAGAAATTTTAGTTTATTGCCAAATTTTAAAAAAATAAATTATATATTATAAAATATAATTTCATTTGAGTAAATATTTTTTTATTAATACCGAAGAAAGTTGTTGGATTTTTAATGGTTTGTAGTCTATGAATCGAAAGTTTCCTTGCATGATTTAAATATATTGCATCATTCTATTTGCATTAAGAAACGTTACACCCTTAATGTCATGCATCAAATTGGTATTATATTATATTGTTGCATCATGTCAACTAAATGTAGGATATTTAATTAAGATAATAAAAAATTTTAATTAATAAAATAATTTAAATGAAATTGAATAGCTTATGGTTGCATAAAACAAAAATAAAAATATCTTGAGACTAAGAACTATTTCATACATTCGATGGGAGATATAATCTTAGAGAATTTGGAATGTTTAGGTGAAAATACATAATATATTTAATTCTCAAAGAATTAAATGATTCAAATGAAAACTGATGGAGCCTTCTCCATCATTTTAATGAAGAGTTACTAATAAGACATAATAAGTTGAAATGAAACAATCACCTAGAGAGCAATAATGGCCATTTGGTGAATATAGAAATCAACAACATGATCAATTTACGGATTATAAGCAAGGTTGATATAATATCTTTTGGATACAATGCAAATTTATGCGTTGCACATAATATTATTTGTCATTAAATTAGTTTTTATTATTATTTATTTCAATATGGGTCTTATGCGGGAAATTAGAGGTGAACTAAGTTACAATTTAACAAAAATTTTACATGAGGCATTATACATAGCTTTGAATATTAAGGAGTATTACAATCCTTCTAATTACACTGTCACTCAATGTGATTCATATCTATAAAGAAAAAATAATGGTATATTCTTTAAAGCATGCTATATAAACATCAACACAATAGTCATGTATGGTTAAAGTTGATTTAATTTAAAAAATGTCCATTCATGAATATCTAGATATTTTCAATGTAAAAAAAAATTTGCAGCTACAATATGCATCTATCTACATCAAATTATTTTAAATTTAAATATGCATCTACATTTTATCATATTCATGAACCTGAATCAGTACTTCATCAAAAATCAAAATTTAAATCCAAAATTGAAATTGGGCATGACATTATATATGAATTTGAATTTTCATATGAACTTGGTATATATTTTAATGTCAAGAAGAACAAATCCTTTGATGAATCAAACGGGCAATAAAAAGATGCATTTTTTGATAAATTTTCTGTTGACAATAATATTCCTATGATGGGTGACCAAAAAGAAAAGAAATTTTATCTTTAGTTATTGGTTTAGTAACATACAAATCCACCAAACAAAAATCGATTACTTAATTCTCAATACTCATACAATAGATTTACTTTTCCAGTTAAATTAAGGTTTCTGAACATTGCTTGAAGCTCACTCGACATTATTTTCCATTCAAAAAACTATCAATATCCATTACCCAATCAAAAAAAATCATAAGATCTAATCTTTCATCGAAGATAGACATATCAATTTTGACCTTTCTAATTATATCTTCATCTAAGTCATGTATATGTGATTGTCATAAATTTCATTTTCAAACACCCTATCTTGTTTGTTTCTCTCAAGATGAGCATCACGTCACCTAGTAGCATTAACCTTTGCATGAATGGGTCATCATTAAGGCTAGACTCAACTTTTGGTTCATGTGGGATAATTTGAAATGTTTTCAAGTGTTAATTCTCTCCTTAACCTAATTTATGTGCACACCCATTTGATTTTCATTTGCTAGCAATTCAACCAATTGGTTTTGCAAATTAAAATCTTGTTGCTTTGGTGATTTAATAAGGAATTTGAGATGGAGCCCCACTTCTAGTTAACATGTTAACACAAGCAAAAGCTCTAATACCAAATATATTGTAAGACACTTCAGGGCTAGGGCCACCTAAATTTAAATCTAGGATGGCGTGAATCAAACAAGCAAATGAAGGAATCAGTTGAAAAGATACTAACTTTAGTAAGGCAACAACACCATCACTTTAGAAGAAAATCAAAGAATAAGAACAATTTCTCGTAAAAATAAAATCATAAAAAATTGAAATTTCATAATAAATTTAAGATTGATTAAAACCACAGAATTATTAGGACTCCACCTGTAAGAAGTAAAAATAAATTGCAGCATATTTGACAAAATATCAATCATACATTTCAAAACAAAACACAAATTATGTTGATAAAAAAAAATACAAGATAGAAGCTAAGAAAAAGGATGTAAGACTCATGGAAATACATGGAGATAGCCTCAATTGTTATTTTGGGCACTTGCACCACAATCAAAGAATTCACATCCAATAGTACTAAACATGCATAAGTTTGGGAAAGACCTAGGCTCCATTTGAGACGGTTTTCTTATTGCTTCTTAAAGCAGTTTTTTAGTACAAAATTTAAATTTATGTACTAAAAAGCTGTTTTAAGAAAACCGTCCCAAATGAAGTCTTAATTTTATTTAAAAAATAATCTAAATTTGGTATGCCTCAAGAGTCCTATTTATACTTAAAAAAGAACCAAATGTCATGGTTTCTAAAATTATAGAATACGTTAGAATAGTATGTCTTAATATAAAAGATCTCAATTTCAATTACAATATAAAAAAAATAAAAAATTTAAAGGCAATAAAATTAGGAAACAATGTCATTTTTGCAACCTTTGATATTTATGAAGTACAAAAAATTGCACTCTGGTAGAATTGGATAATATCAAGAACCCTCCAAAAAGAATCTCATATAGAAAGAAATATTTCTACAAAAAATTTCATATTAAAAAACTGGAAGATCACAAATATAAGGGTACTTTAGGCTAAGCATTGTAGAATAAAGAATGGATGCCTAGACAAAAACTGGGGACTTGCTTGCCAAAACAAAGGATCGAAAATTATTGAACTAGTAAATAACCTATAGAAACATCAAGGAGCCAACAATAACCAAAATAAATAATAATAATAATAAAAAAGGAGCCAACAAGAACCAATAGCTTGAGACACAAGGAAACCGAATCAAACCAACATAGATTATAGAGAACACAACTCATTCTTAACAGGGATTATCATTGTAGGCATGTTTGCAAAATAAAAATTAACTAAAGGAATCCAAAACATCGAATAACAATATATTCACTTCAAAACACATCCAATATTTTTGATGAGTATAAACTTACAAATTCCTATAGTGGAGGCTAAGAACTACATGGTACAATATAATATGAGATGTGTTGAATTACATGACAGCTTGAAAAGCATGTGCAAAAGAAAGTGCCTAAGAAGAATTCACAATCATGCATTTCATATGACAAGAACCTTGTTACCCCAGGAACCATCATGCACACACTTTGATCCTTAAGGGAAAAAAAAAACTTAAAGTACTTCGCATCTGCATTTTCTTCTGCACAGATATGTGGTCTTTTCATTCTTCAGACGATGAAGCTTCTGTTCATTTTCACTTTCTCTGCTCTTCCATCTAATGTCAAAAATTACTTTTCCTTTAGAGTTCAGCGCTTAACTTCTATCAGGCGTAATTCTTTTTCATTTTAGGCTTTTAATTTCTAATATTCCTTATTCCTGAATGAGTTTTTCGCTGCTCTTGTAGCCCTGTTGCATTGTCTTGCATGTGCATGAAGAATTATGATGTTATTGTTGAAAAATGTACAATGCAGGCACGAACAAACTCAAGCTTTTTAATGAATTTTTTTTTTTTTTTCACTTAAGGAAGCTTTTTAGCAATTTTATATTTATGTTCCATTGTTTACTACAAAAAACTTTCACCAAATTTGCAAAATTAATAGAACAAATTTTTTTTTTAATTGGCTTGGCTCATTAGTGTAGCTTCATATTTATAAAAATTCATTTTAACTAAATAAAATGGTAGATGTTTTGAATATATTTTGTGTTATAATCATGCATGTATACAAAATATATGAAATTAAAAAGTTAAAGAATAACATTATGGCATCACTACTCCACCTCATGCTTTGAAAATATTCCCTTTGCAAACCACCCATTCGAAACACCAGTAAAGGTAAAAACCACAATTTATTAATATAAATATCATGGAACCAGGTTAATAATTAAGAAGTATTATATTGAAGTATAACGTAAGGCAGCACAACTCACTCAAACAGAACCAACAATCAATGCATCCTTGTTATGTAACTTTCAAATTACACATCATAAGAACTCTGATCATAGGATATTAAATTGAATTAACAGAAATTTCCTAATGCTGCAAAAGAATTGAATAAAGGACAAGGCAAGCTAATCTTTTAAATGTATGTGGCTTGTCGCCAGCTATCCAATTTGCATTTCAAAAAGACTAAAGAAATAATATTAATGTCGTATGATAGTAATTTCTACAACTATAAATATACAATATGGTTCGTAAAAAAACAAGACAATGAACATGAGTAATTCATCTATAAACAAAACAAAAGTATGGTCCAAAAATGTTGGTTGGGCTCAAACAACAATTCCAAGGTGATTCGTAAGTGATAAATGAACAGATATAGCTGCAAATTCCTTCTATGCAACTAGGCCACCAAAGCCAAAAAAAATTCACGACAGCCACAATTCATACAAAATGCTACTGATACATTTGTAAGTAAACAGAGAGAATTTGTAAAATGAGTGAAGAATCACAATAGTAATAGTATATAACAAAATTAGGTGCCAAAATATAGGTAGCAAAGAAACCTGCTAGTTCTGCAGCATAATCATCCTGAGGCTGCTCATCAACAAATCTGAATTCCATGTTTCCTATGTCTTGCAGTTCCTTGAATACCCATTCGGGCGGAGCAGATTGATAAAGCATTTTGATATATTGATACACAAATCCAATAATATCAAATATCTGTTAGATCAATGTATCAGAAAACAGAAAGTTAAAAGTGAATCTGGAATGTGTAATACATCCACACATGCGAACATTGGGGAAGCTACTATCCAGATATAATTAGGAAAAAAGGTCTTGGTGATTAGAAAGAGCTGGAAGCACGTAAGGTGGATAAACATTAATATTCTATTATCTGGAAGAAAAAAGACACAAAAGCAAGTAGTGGCAACAGAAAAGAAGTGGATGGTATTAACACAAAGATTCAACTACTGCACTGTTTGAATTAATTTGAGAGTTCCTTAGATATTTATTTAAATAATCGGACAAAATTTATTAGGAATAAAAGCTTTATAAATCTGTAAGAAATGTTAAATCATGATTAAGCAAATTTCAGTTTTAGTAAGTTCTAGAGTTCTTAATAGAGCAATCAAGGAGACATGGATCTCTTAATGCTATAGGCACAAAAAACCGCACTAGAAACTCACCCAACAAAGTGACGGAAAAAAATAAAAAATTAGCTATTTCACATAACAGCATATTTCAATTATGAAAAAAGCTTTTTAAAATATATAGAACAATAATCATCCCAATAAAAAAATTTTAAGCAAAATAATAAAATTTCAAATTTCCTTGCAATCCAAATTTCAAATCTTTCTTAAATATATCTTAAAAGAAAAAACAGCCCCAAAAGACTACATAACTTTAACCAGGTAAATTAATTAAATTTTAGTACAAGTATGGCCATGAAATAATTTAATCTTCCTCATCAATTCCATCCTCATCATCATTCATGCCCTCTCCATCACTGAATTTATATAACCCTCTAACTCTTCAAATCTCATAAGATTGATTGACTTAATACAACATATGCATCAAGATTAGTCAAGATTATGATACGTAGTACTTGAGTTCGCAAGTCACCCTAAGGTAATACTTGAGTTTGCAAGCAAAACCTAGCAATTATTGGTGAGAAAACAATGAAAAAACTGCTGGTTTCAGAGAGAAACCAAAAGTTCGATGCAGAAAATTCAGGAATTTGGAAAGAAAAGCACAAGCAAACTTCCTTGATTTAATCGACGAACAAGAAAAGTGATCAACGATACAAGTTCCTCAATTTGAGAGGAAGAACAACTCTCCAAATCTCTAGCCAAGCCTAGAGCCCCAAAGGAACAAAACTTAGATCTCAAAATTCAGCCAATCTCAAAATAACCTCCAAACCCTAACAAGAAAGACTAATTAAAACAAAAGGAAAATTAATTAATCCCTAAACAGCACCTCATTCAAATTTTCCCTCCCAAACCCTATTTAATTTAGGTGCTGCCGCCCCCCTCGCTTGGCCGCCTCACACTTTTGGACCGGGGGGCATAGACTTGAATTGGTCCAAGTTGGACCGGTTCAGGTCTAACATTACCCCCCCTCTCAATGACTCGCCTTGACCTCAAGGTGAAAAGGTGGAAATTGGTGTTTTACCCTCTCATGCGGTTCCCATGTGGCGTCAAACTCAGGAAGCCCCCTCCATGCCCTTGGAGATTGCTTCAACCTATACAATACCTTTTTTAACTTCCATATATTTTATTTTATATTTGAGTCAAATACCATGGGCCCTCCATATATACTTCCTCCATATCACAATGTAAGAAGGCATTCTTCACATTAAATTATTATAAATTTTAATCACTTAGTTGTTAATGATAAAAGAACTCCAACAGTATTACATTTTAACAACTCAAGCAACAATTTCAATACGATCAATCCCATATGTTAGAATGTAACTTTTGTCCACTAGTTGGGCTTCACATATTTCTGATAAACAATCAAATTTGTATTTTATACTAAAGACTCTTTTACATCCCATCGGTTTCTTTCCTTTCATTAAATTTACCAGTTCTCTTTTTTTCTTTTTTAAAAGGCTTTTATTTATTCTCATAATATTATTTCAATTCACATTATTTAATATCTTGGAGACTATTTTAGTAATAGAAATAGTATCTAGGCTTCTACGAAAAGTTTGATAATACAAGAGTTTTTGTCAGATAAAAATAAGAGCAAGGGAAATTTAGTGGAAGTTCTAGTACCTATGGTGTAAGCTTAATAGTTTTCTAAGATGATTCAATGATAGGGATTGATTTGGTTGACTAAACTTATGCAAAGTGAGATGACTTTCTCTTTGAGTAAATTGATAATGGCTAAAAAGGTGGTTCTAGTAGAGGCTTATTTTGTGTAGGAGTGATAAGTTCTAGAGCAAATTTATTTGTTGAGATGAGGAGGTAAAAAAGGGAAATTTAAGAGGAAAAATTCATTTGTTAATGATACTTTCTCCTTAGGGTAATTAGCACTAAGATAGTAATCTTGTCATAAAATTTGACATTAGTGGACACATACACAATTCTCATTTGTGGATAGCAGCACTAGTTCCCTTATGCATGAGAGAATAGCCACTTAATGCACATTTAATTACTCGAGAACCACGTTTTACTTTACTTTGAGAAGGTGGATGAATATGATAGGAAACACTTGTAGATCTCTAAGTATTTTCTATCAATCTTCGGAAAACAGCGAGAATTAACACAATCTTGTGCATCACCTTTATTCTTAAAAATAGGAATTAACACACTCATTCTTCACTCATCTGGCATCTTTTTAGTCTTCACAATAGTATTAAAAAGTTTAGTAAGCCAAGAAATACCTTTATCCCCAAAGCATTTCCACACCTCTATTGGAATATCATCAGGTCCAACAGCTTTTCCACCCTTCATTTTTTTAAAGCCTCGCTAACTTTGATTTTACTAATACGCCAATAAAAACAGAAATCTTTATTTTCATTTAGGGTGCTAAGGTTACTATATCCAATCTTATTTTCACACTTTTCATTAAAAAGTTTAGCAAAATATCTCATCCACTTTGTTGAATATCATCTTCTAAGAAAAGTATTTTTTGATCTTCATCCTTAATACACTTCACTTGAACAAAATCCTTACTACTCACATCTTTTTGTTTGGCTAACTTATACATATATCTTTCTCCCTCCTTAGTATATAATCTATTATATAAATCACTAAAAGCTACGGTCTTTGCATCACAAATTGCTTTCTTAGATTCCTTACGAGCCTCTTTATATCTTTCCCTATTATCAGAATTTTTAAAATTAAATCAATTTGTAATGTCACTTGCATCATAGATGTCAATGGCGCAAAATAGCGAGCGTCATGGCGCACGGCGCGGCGCACCTACGGCGCCATGTGTATGGTGCGGCGCAAATGTTCAAAATGGCGCGCACTATTTGCGCCACATGCGGGCCATGGCACATGGCGCACGACGCAAAATAACGCGCACCATTTGTTTTAAAATTTTCTTAATGTATTTAAAAATAATTTTTATATTTATTTTTTAAAATTTTTAACATGATATATTTTCTAATTTTTAAATATATTAAAGGTATTAAGATAAATGTTAGATTGCATATTATTATCTTCGTAATGCTATTTGTTTTCATTTAAATATATTTTAGTTGTATGAAGATTGACTACTTATTGGACTTGAAATTATGTTGGATTGTTATTTATTTGTATTGTCATTGTTTGCTTGTTATTATGATAGTTTGTTTTTCAATTTAATGATATTTCATATTCATGCTTATTATTTTAAAATTTTTTTATAATTTGCGTCATATTTAAAATGGCGCGCGGCGCGGCGCGGCGCGCGCTATGCGTCATGGCTCAAATAGGACATTTGCGCCATGGTGCGCCATTCGCCGTTAACAAGTATGACAATTACATAAAATTACATATTTTAGTGGAATAAATAATACAACAACAACATCAATGGCCAACATTCGGCACCATAAAGCATTGCAGGTCTCACCACCATCTTGTAGAATTTTCCCTTAAGTTTGAGGGGGACTTTTCTATCGCACAACAAGCCCGATGCATTATTCTACTTCAACCATCCAACTTGAATTTTGCTGATAATATCCCCATCTATTTCACCATCACTCTGAACATTAAATTAGGGTGATATGCATTTAACTTCATGGCTTTGCAGCTAATTTAAATGTTGAATCTATTATGAGTATTTTACAGAGTGTGAGGTAGCTTTTGATAAATATTAAAAAAAGCTGTTTTCAATTTTTGACTAAATTGGGCTCATTTGAAACTTTGAGGTGTGGCTACATGCATTAGTTTTGCTTTATAATCATAATGTAGCGGCTTTATTAAATATAAATAAGATGCTAACATTAAAGCACAAAACCTTGCTTCTTTTATTATGAAGTTATCATGGTTGAAGGATCTTAAGTTCTGTTAGTTTCACTAATATATTTAAATTATAAAAAACAATTAAATTGAATTTTGATTACATCAGATTTTAAAGGAAACCTAAGGCATGAATATGCGTCTTCTATAAGTTAGCCACTTATTAAATGGATAAGAAAGCTGGATTTAAAGCATTAAGACTTATTTTAATTTATGAGGCATTAATGTTGTTGAAACCGCTCATCTTGTTTCATTGCCCTTTGGGACTGATATTGTTATACTGTATACCTAAAAATTTTAAAATTCTAATATTTAGAATGCAACAAACTATCAGCATGTTAATTGGCAATAACATAGAAATAAAATAAATATTAAATTAAATTTCCTTGCAATAATTCTTTACAGAATAAACGTTTAAAATTCTAATATTTAGAATGCAACAAACTATCAGCATGTTAATTGGCAATAACATAGAAATAAAATAAATATTAAATTAAATTTCCTTGCAATAATTCTTTACAGAATAAACGCATACCCTTTCTACTCCAGAATATGTCAAATTTATTGACATGACAAACACATAAGCAATAGAAGACCGGCGCATGCCTTCATCACCAACACCAGCAGATAAAGATGTTGCCCACCCTTTAGCTTTAAAGAAAAAAAGTAGGCTTCCACTGCCCTCTGAAAAGTATGCCATCTTTTAATGATTTAATACAGGGTACATATAATAAAAGATGAGATTATAATTTTAGACTATAATCTATAAGTAACACGTCAAGAACAGAAGACTCAACCATGTCCAAGAAGATGTGCCAAGTAATCCTCTGGTTTTTTTAGGTACTCCTTGTGAAGGCAGGGTAATCTCCATGATAATTCTAGTACATGAACATCTTTAACAGCTTCTAATCTGTAAAGTTTGCCAGGTTTCCATATAGGAATATCACATCCAGTAATAGCCCTCACTGGATTGCCTTTCTTAACTTTACTGAAAAGTTCTACTACCCATTTCTCCAGGATATCAAGTGACTCTACAAAAATAAAATAACATAAAATAAAAAATTAACATAAAGACTCAACAGAGATGCTGTTCAAGAAATAATTAAGCAAACAAAAAAAATTGTTATCATTATAGAACATTTAAGGGACAATAATAGCAATATAGGTCAAATAACTAAATAAAAATGCATACCACTTTACCTCCTCCAATAACCACAAGTTTCATTATATCCCCAAGATAGTTTTCCCTGTACATTAGCAAGATTTCTTCCCGCAGATTAACTCCATTTTCCATCGCATCAACCAAGCTTTTCTTATTTCCTAAAGACAAGGCAAGAATACAACCAGTACAATACTATGTAATATTAAAACGGATGATTAATGCTGATGAGGATGATACCCCAAAAGAATCTGTTAAAAGGGTGACCAGGGGTAGATGTGTGGCAAGTAAGCTGCAGAAGGCGGTAACTATCATTTTGCAAAACTTGGTTGAATTCTGCACAAGGAATTGTTTGAATGATAACATGACAAAACCATTTAAGTAGATTTCTATTAATTGAGAAACGGCCCCAAACAAAATAAAAAATAAATAGATAAATAAATAAAGCTGAAAAAGCTTTGCAAATAGAGCATTGGCAAAAAGCTTGTTAAGGAACAACTTGCAGTACCTGAATCAACTGCTAACACCTCTCGTTCCATAGCTTCAGCCTTAACTAGGGGTGATATAAAAAATTGAGAAAATCTGCAATTATTTCGCATGGACACAATAATTTGTCACATATTGTGAGACTAAAAAAAACTATCTTGGTACTTCAAAAAGTAGTAAATGACATGATGTTTTAAGACCATCCACATAAGCTATTAGTAAATTGTAAAACAAATTGCCCACCTTTCTAAAGCTCCTTTGAGGTACTCATGATTAACTTCAAAGTGGTAGCAAGTGTACTCAGCCTCAGTGTAGGCATTAGAAGAACCTCCATGCTGCGAAAGGTAACTATCATACTGGAAAAAAAGAGAGAAAAAATGGTATTTAAGAAACCAAAAAAACAACATTGCATAAGATAACATAAAAGCTGGTATATTTCTATGAAAAAAGTTATGAATAAGACAAATGCATAACATTACAACAAAATTTAAAGCAAGTAGCCAAAAGACTCATATTTACAAGAAAAACAAAAGGTTTTAGCTTTTCTGCCAAACATCTCTTGGAGAATTCATGATGGCAAAGGTATCAGCTTTTGTAAATATAAATCAATTTCAGACTGCCCACTTGTTATTCAAATCAGAGATCGTTATAACTTTGCCAGGAATTTAACTGGTAGCTTCTTATCATTCTAGTGGAGTTGATCGGTAACTCTTTGGAAAGATACCACACAAGGATAGCTTGATCATGAAATTTACAACCCTTTTTGGCTTCCACCCTCAACAGATTGATGGAGGTAAAAAAAAATGTTTTGATGGGGGTAATCCATACCTGTTAACGGCGAATGGCGCACCATGGCGCAAAGGTCCATTTGGAGCATGGCGCATAGCGCACGGCGCGGCGCGCGCTATTTTAAACATGGGGCAAGCTATATAAAAATTATAAAATAATAAGCATGAATATGAAATATTATTAAAAATGAAAGACAAGCTATAAGCTATAAAAAACATATAATCACACAAACAACACAACATAACAACATCATATATGAAGTTCGACTAGAAAAAGTAATATCCAAATATCTCATAAGTTCAAATATTACAAATCAAAATTGTTTTTAGAAAATCAAAATAGAATTTAATCTATCTCTTCTTAGTGAAATCTACATTCGTCCAGCTTAGAATTGTTAGAAAAAGCCTTACAAAAATTATCCATTCTATTTTCAACATTTAGTCTTACCGAACATCTACGAATAAAAAGACAATACCTACTTTATATAATCCTCTTCAATCAACACCTCCTCAACCCAAATCATCTATTCTCAAATTAAAGCCATAAAAAACATCATGACCTAATTGAAGATTCTTTCTCATATTTCACACTGTTTAGATCAATTTCAAAAAAGAGCCGAAAATTGAAATAGCTTTTAGTCATAACACCAGTTAAGCTTTGAACCAAACAACAATTGTACCAAGTTAAAATCTTCAAAACTCCTCTTTCCAGCAATTATAAGATCATATTTCTTCATACAACGTCATCATCTAAATTTTTCTGTTAGTACAATAAACATATTGCATTCATCTATCATCAGCAAGATAATAGAAATCAAAATAACATACGATGATTGAATCTTTCCGAATTCATGTGCTCTATTAAGTATTATTCACATAAATAAATCCTTTTAAAGCGACCATTGACCTTCACAATTGCTTCTAAATCGTTTCGCCTATGAAGCTGCAATTAAAATATTTATATTATTATTACTATATTAATGAAGCCATAATAAAAAATCAACACATACATTATTAAAATACTAACCATGTTAAAATAATACTTCCAATTGCGTTCGCATAACAGATGATTAAACAAAACATGTTAAACTATAGGACTTTGGATAGCAAAGCTTTATGTAAAATGGGAGCCCTTGTCCACATGCCAACCCCAATCAGCTTCGGAGAAAGGACATATGAATTTTTTTATATACGAATAATTATACATATAGAACAAAACCAGTCTTAATTTTATTTTGTAAGGTAATGATACCTGGAGATCGCGCACGAGGTAGTTCTTTTGTATGTACAGACTGGTACTGTGAATACCAAAGGAATGTCCTTCACCCACAGGCAATACCAAACTAACAGTATAATGACAAGACTTAAATTGCAATAACCTAGTGATGCATTTATCTCTCTATCAGCCCTACATCTTGAGATGAAATCTACTCAAAGATAACATGCTATAACTAAGAATTGATAAACATCATCAGCATTTTCCATATCAACACTGTTGGCATGGATCATACAGGGAATTGAAAAAGAAAAAATATCAGAAGAAATTTAAACAAATAGTGTCCCGCTGCAAGTAACGGGCCAGATGATGCCACTTAACCTCAAAAAACAATAAATAAGAACTTCAGTCTATCAATCATCAATAATTTGATCATAATCACAAATAATCACTGTTATTGTAAGCTATGCCTGTCATAAATGATAACTCTTTTTGCTCTATCACATTGCTTCAGTATATGGTAAAGACCATTAGGGGCCTCTTCTCTCGCATCAAACCAATATCTTAAGATAACCTATTAAAGGACTAGCCTATTTTAAGGCATACGACTAACTAGTGTTCCAAAATGATATCCTGCATTGTATAAGATTAGTTATGTGAAGATTGTTTAGCATACCACTCAACTTTCGAGCATAAGAAGACCTAAGTAATAAAAATTATACCTTCAACAGAGATAAAACATTTTTTTCTAAGTATCAGTTACGTTTGATTGAATAAGAAACAAAAAAAACGTCTGTAATAAAATAAGGACGCATTGTAATACAAGAAGCGAACGTACTTTGCGGCGTCTGACAAAGACCATTGAATATGATAAGCACCTTCTCATTAAACATCAAGTATAGACGAGGCCTAGAAGAATATATAAAAAGCGAAAAAATCAATGCTAGAGAGCAAACAAATCAACATGATCTCACGTAAGCACCTACATGCTTTATCTACAAAGACCAGAACAAAAAAAAAAATCAAGCATCAGTGCTAATAAGCATAGTGACATATACTTGAAAATATCCATCCAAAGATAATATCCAAAAACAGCCAAACTAACAAGTGAACAAAAAGCCCAGCACAAGGAGTCCAATAAATTGTAAAGACGCATATTTCGAAACCCAAACCAAATCCATTAATCAACCGAATAATTGAATTAATAACAACAACTAGATTATAGTAAAACATAAATTTTAAGTTAAAAATAATACAATACTCACACATGAAATAAACAATAACATATAGAAATCAAAAGTACTAGCGAGAACAAACCGAATGCACTAAAGAACAATATGGGTATAGCCAGTAAATAATCTCTCAACAAAAAAAACCAGTGACCAAAAAAAGTGAGCTTCATGAATAACACAACGAGCTCTATCGTGATCCAAATACACCACTCCAGAAATGAATAACTTGCCCAATAAAAGATCACTCAACCAATTTACACAGCATTCTTTCAGGAAAAAGGAACATTAAGAATATACAATGAAATTCTATAGAATGCAAAAAAAAATCTACCTCGTGGCAATCAACAATCTAAACAACAAGAAATAATTGATTATAGCTTTCTCCCTATTCCATCAGAACGTTTTAATTCCAAAATTTTGTTCCACGAACAATCATCTCCCTTAATGTCTATTATACGGAAACAACTCATAATCAATACAACAATCTTCTTACAGATGGTAGATTAGCCGTTCGCAAAGTAGCCCAATCAATGGTTATGATCCAACCTCTTTCTTCAAACAAGTAACTGTAGTGTGCATGATACCTGGAGCGTTTCATTTCCAGGTCTCAAACTGAGAACCCTCAAAGTGCCTATCGCAACCATATTAGCCAGTGGAAACTATCATAGTTAACACACGAAGCATGTAAATAGCTATATCCTCAAAGCAATTCGTAACAAATCCATCTCTGAACACACCTTGAACAGCCCTTCCCCTGCAATTCTTGTTTGTAGCATGACCCCATCTCCATTTCTTTGTTTTAAACTGACCTTTTTATGCACTTTACTACTATCTTTAGGAATTACAGGTGTAGAGGAAAGATACTAACTGGCACCTCTTTAAGGCTCGTGCACTGTTTTGAAAAAGAATAGATGTAGATGTCAGAAGAACATGGATTAATCCATTGGAACTAGATTGTTAATTCCTAGAATATTAATTCGTACCGACCAAACATTTTGCGATGGAAAATACCATAAAAATTCAAACAAAAGCAAACTAAACAATAAATCATATAGCCACAATCACATCCAAAGTCATCTCTTCTTCTTCAGATCCAA